CTTGCTTCGGGCCGTTTCCCAAACGAGCGTGATTCGGGGTCCCCGCGCTTTAAACGGTCCCTCGTTTTTACCCAGATTTGCTCGACTCTTATGGAACGTGGAAGGAAGTTGGGCGCCCTTTTCCGTGAGGGACAGCTCCTCTGTCATCCCCTTCCCTTGTGCTTCCTAGCTCTGTGAAGTGCCTTTGCCTGGTGTTGAAATTGCAGCCCTGGGAATCCTCTGACGACTATTTTCCTCCGTGGTCCAGGACGGCGAAGGGGCCTGACTCCAGCCGGCTCTTCTGCAACCGCAGTTGCAGCCATCTGTAAACTGTTGGCCGTGGTTTGTGCTTTGGGGGAAACTTACTGCAGAAAAATGCCTGAAATAAGCTTGGTGTGTGCAGTAGTGTGCGTAGATTTTAGTTCTGGAGCTTGCTCCAGCCATTTCCTCCAGTTACAGCAGTGGTACGTTGTTCAGACTCAGGTCATCCACCTGGGGACGGAATTAGTGTCTCACCACTTCTTAACTGCAGAAGGAAAAAAAAGTTTTTAAAAATTTCTCTCCGAGTGAGAATAATTGTCCCAAAATTGTGTGTTTGCTCTCCAACAGAATGATTTTTTAAAAATTGTAAAATGAAACTTTTTTTTTAATTAAGGCCACAAGAAAAGCCATTGAGGAAGCTAAAGAAAAATTAATCATGCCCCCTGTTTTGAATGAACGAGAGCCAATTGACGATGTCTTAGCGGAAGACAAATTCCTTGAAGGAATGGAAACGACAAAATATGTGTTTACGGATTTAACTTACTCCGTTCCACATCGTGTGAGTAATGATATATTAATTTATTTTAAAAGCTCTTCATGCTTCATTTCAAAATAAGCGTTAGGTTTTAACAAAATGTAATTATAGCAGTCTGCAAAAAGTCTGAGAAGTTGCAAATTCAGCCTGGTACAAGGCACTAGAAAGACATGTGTTTCTAAATGTTTGTTTCTAACTTATAATGATAAATTAATTCCGGTGCCCAAAAGCGGGCTGGGGGGGAAGCTGCGGGATAGCTAGTTAATTATTTTAAAAGCATATGCCTGTGATTGCCAGAAGTGCGGAGTTCTTCCATACTTCCTAGAAGCTTTCTGTGGAATTGGATTGCTTAGTGCTGTGCATAGACCAAAAGATGGAGCTACTTCACAGCTGGAGAGATCGGACAGAAAGCTGGGTAAATGATAAATGAATGCATGTGAAAGCTGTGAGGAAACAGTTGTCGAATAGAATTGTGGAGTGCAGGGATAAAGATGACAACTAGATTTCTTTCTGTAATGAAACATCTAGATTGTCATAAGTACCAGTAATAAGAGGCTGGAAGAATCCTTAGCAATAGTTATGATTCTGAGAAGTCTCCGTGGTTCAAACATGTGTACAGTGATGATCCCATGAAGTGAATTGCCACGGCTTCCATCTGTCACTCCATCTGAGAGCTCTCTCCAGGAACCTGCTGTTTATTCTTCAGCCTCAATGGACTGAAAAACTCCCCCTTCCTATCTGCAGCCCTAAATCAGATAGGCTGGTAAATAAATTGGAGTATATTGTTTTATTAGTCACATTTTTTGTTTTGCACTTGCCCTTACTGCGTGCTAGCACTTACCTCTGATACAAAGCTAAGAAAGTACAAGACACTTGCATTCTTAATTAAGTACATGTTATTAAATGCGTAAAATCAGGCCAGCAGCAACACTAGCTCCTTTGCCTGGGTGTTTATGCTATCTGTCTAAACTTCACAGAGCTGTGGCTTTTAGTGGAGGCACATGCACAGTTACGTCATACAATAAAATTAAGATGCAAATGTAGCACTGAGCTAGCAGGTACCAAGGGGGAAATGATGAATTTAGCACATCGCAACAATCAGAAAAAAATGGTATTATTAGGTGGGTTTAGGTATAGAGGGACTTTGCCAGATATGAAACTATTTTACAATGATTCTGGCTACAGAGAGAGAAGACTGGGAGATGACGCTCTTTTTCTTTACTTTCTTTTCAGGAGCGTTTCATCGTAGTTAGAGAACCAAATGGTGTCTTACGCAAAGCAACCTGGGAAGAGCGAGACCGGATGATACAGATATTCTTCCCAAAAGAAGGACGCAGAGTTATTCCCCCAGTGGTGTTCAAGGATGAACACCTTGTGGTAGGAGCTTCCTGCTTCTAAGAACCGATCACTTCTGCTTGCCTGTGCTCTGATAGTGAAACTGTGCTGTTGAGACAGGGTGGCTCTGGCTAAGCCAGTCTGCCTGTGTGTTCTAAGCTGCTTGAATTCTGGTTTGAACAGTTGCTGATCACTGCAACTCATTTAAAATACTTACTGTAAAGTTTCAGGTTGGGATGAGGTAAATCCTGGGTAGGTGTAAAGATTCTGATGTACTGTAAGTCCAGATTTCATTGTTATACGTTGATGAAATTGTATATGCTTAATCTGAAAGCGTGAACTGGTGTTTCAGAAACAAAAAAATCGAGAAATGTAGTTATTAGTGTCACTGAGGCAGTTACTGCACTTTTGTCCCTTTGTCTTGCGGTGAAGGGGTTACTCAGTGTAAGGGTTGCCCGGAACAGAAGTACTGTGACTGCTGTTCTCATTGTGGGTAGTTGGAATGGTGTGATACAGAATCTGTTCCCAAATTTTAACTTTTATTTTAGACTGTATTTCAGCAAGACCGTCATGAGGATATCCTTAACATGTGCGTCGCTCAGTTTGAGCCGGATTCACCTGACTACATCAGAGTGAGTTCGTTTGTCATTTTTCTAATAAAAAATGAATATTAGTGAAGAACTTTAGGGTTTGTTGTGTAAACGTAAGTATTATCTGGTGACCAAAGTTGCTGTTCATGTGTTCTTTCCCCCCCGACCATATAGATTACCTGTTATCTTTGCCATGAGCTTTTTTTCTTGAATCGTTGAGAACACATAACTTCTGTTAGGCAATTCTTCAAGTACCTTTTCTTGAAAGAAAAATTTCACCTCTTTGCTCTAGCATTTTTCTCCTTAAAGAACAGATTACAACTTGACAGCAGCAAAAGGAAAGTTATGTTCCTCCTTCCTCAAATTTTCAGTATGTAGCTGGTAATTAGCTATCTCTTAACGTAAAGAGGTCTATGCCTAAGCACTAAGAGCTGGGTTATCCCAGCGTTACCCTGAATTGTAGCACGTCTAAAGCTTTAAGGTAGCATGGTTCAGCCTGTGGCTTACTCCTGTGCTTAGAAAATAGATTGAAAACTTTAAGTGGGAGGTGGAGGGGAGAAACTGTCATCAAGCTCCAGTTATGCTAATGAACTGAAACCTTTTCCACGTGTAGGTTCATCATCGGACATACGACGACATTGAGAAACATGCCAAATACGATCTGCTCCGTTCAACAAGACACTTTGGAGGAATGGTGTGGTATCTGGTAAACCGGAAGAGAACAGATGGCTTGCTAATAGATATGATTCACAGAGACTTGTGAGTGGTGCCTGTCACCTGTTAGTTCTGCTTATCTAAATAATTAGAAAACAACAAGCACCGTTGTTTGAAAAGAAGACCAGTATTTCTGTAAGGTGTATAGAAGTTTTCATTTCCGTGAAATTTTAGGCTAGCTGTAACTTTCAGCTATAGGGTTGCTGAATGGAAGCACTAGCTACAGTCGACAAAGCTGCAGGGTATTAAACTGGGTTCCTGCAGAAGTTAGCCTTTTGCAGTTGCAGGGGGTTTGGTTTTTGTTTCCCTTGTAATTGTCAGTACACTTGCAGCTCTGGGCAGTGCTGATCTTAAAGCCTAACAATTTTTATATTGCTGAGCTCACTTTTGGCTTTTAAGATTGATACACTCTGAGTTTTAGAGCAATTCTGAAGTAGCTTAGGAAAGATAAATATGCTTTCATTTTAGATGGATGGACTTCTATTAGATACGCTGCTAAACTTATTCAGAATTCCCTGAAACAAACAATATTTTATTGCTCAAAATGTCACAGGAGCTAGGAAAAATTTGTACAACCGAATTCCAAGCTGCAGTGCTGGTGGCATTCATCTCCTACTGCTGAAGTTGGAAACTTTGAACAGCTGGTCAGACCTTACTTTTAAACCTGAGGATATGAAGAAATACAGGGAAGCTCCAGTTTTGGAATTAAATGTTAAAGGGAACATTCAAATATCTGGACAATTTAAATTACCAGTCTGGAGCATCTGTGCCTGTCAGCCACCCCCTTTTGGCTTATGCTTACTCGTATATAAAACACCCGTTTCAGTTTTAAATTCAGCTGAGGGCTAGGTGGCAGGAGACCTCTAATGCTACTTCTGTAAGACACGCTAGTTTTTCCAGCTGGTGTTAGAAAGTTTCTGTTTGGCACATTTGTTCTGCTAAATACTTGTTACGGGGTAATTAATTGTATTTTACAGAGTGATTTCAGCTTTATTACCACCGAACAGTACACTAGGCTTAAACTGCAGTCTGGACCAATTTGTGTCCCTCACCTGGTGCTCGCGTGCTCCTGGTCTCCCTTCTCACGAAGGGGCTGCCTGTTTAGCTGGGGGTTCTAGTGACTGAAGACGTGGTGAAAGCAGAAGTTCATGAAAGCCTGTGGTGTGCAAAGTACACTTCCTCTAAACACTAAGTATTAAGAGAAAGTAATTACTACAATTGGCCCTTTATTTGTTTAGGCTGGATGATGCTACGAGTTTAATCACACTGTATCATATGCTTCACCCTGAATGTCAATCAGCAAAAGAAGCTAAAGCAGGGAACCTTCAGGGAGCTGATCTGATCAAGGTATGCTTTTTCTACTTGAAGGCTGCTGAGCTGCAGAAGAGAAAGCTTTCTCTCCTTGCTTTAAGAAGGAGACACTTAACTAGAACTGTTGTGCAGGCCAGGCTGTTTTGGTTTTTTTAAACTCTGTCTTAGCTGCACCAGGATTTCAGTTGTAGCTGGCTGATCTACCACTGGAATGATGGAATCTGATTACGCAGCTGTGCTCTTAACCGTATGTTAATCTCTCCTGCCTTTTGTGTAGGTATTTGCGAAAACTGAATCACAGAAAGAAGGCTATATACAACTGGCCCTCCAGGCTTACGAAGAAGCAATGGCTACTTCTACAGCTTCATGAAATAAACCTTAGTTTTTTTCAAGTCTGTTTATGAACCTTCTCTGTACAGGATTCCACAATAAATACTTTGAACAACTGTTCTAGAAATTTTTTTGCCAAAGTATGTATGTAAGAATCACTGCAGCAGCTTGTTTTCAGAAGTTCTGTAAGTGAACTTACAGCAGTCATCATGACTTGTTTTAAGGTGACAATCTGCCTTAAGCTTCATTCCTTTACTGTTGCATCTTGAATCTAAAGAAGTGCCTGCAATTCAGTTTACTGACTGAATTAAGCATAGGGGCTGGACAGCTTCATTTAGGAAAGTGTGTAACACCGCATCTGTCCCTTCAGGCATATTACTGTTCCGTTAGCTAAAAGAACTAAAAGTGGTGTCTGGAAGTGTAGCTGAGCTGTTGATTGTGACCAGATAACAGTGAAAAAGTAATCATATGCCTCTGAAAAATCAGGTTAAAATATTACTGCTTGGCCACTATGGTCCTGTTTTAAATATGTGCAAAACACACTATTGAAGCTGGGTTAAGAATAGCAGAATTACTAGAAAAAGGAGAACTGAGGAGCAGAATGGTTAAAAGGCTTTACTGAATTAAGTGATAAAGGAAAACATTTTTTAGTATGCACTGGAACAGGCCTACATCTTGATTTCCACATTCTGGAAAGTAATTCTTTTTGTACAGCTGCTGGGTCTATTCTTCCTTCTACATGTACATGGTCCACTTGCAGTATAAAAATCAAATTAACTTGGAGCACATAGTCCACAGAACTTCATTGCTTTGTCTGGAGTAATGGATTTGGTCAGCTAAGAAGTGTGTTCACTCATCTAAGATCTCTTCATCCAGATTGATGTCTGTGGTATCAATATCCTCCAGATCCAAGTTATCCAAGTCATCTTCCAAGTCCAGCAAAGCCTAGGAAAAGAAAAGGCTAGATAAAAGGGATACCAGTCTGGCTGCATGTTAGCCTGCTTACATGATGTATGATTCTGCAGGATGTGTTTGCACACTGCCAAACACAGTGCTGAGGCAGTCGGGGGGAACCTAAATGTTAAAATAAGCTGCAGCGAGAAGCTGCCTTCCTGGTAAGAAAGCATCTCTCTGAGTTGCAATTTGTTACTGTGTTCTGAGCACCTGTGTTTGGACTGAACCCTTCGCTCCCTGTCAGCCCCATGGCTGTAGGAACCGGTCCATACTGCTGTGTTCAGTTTCTGCAGCCAAGAGGAAGGGACCCATAGAATCACAGAATCACAGAATAGTAGGGGTTGGAAGGGACCTCTGCGGGTCATCTAGTCCAACCCTCCTGCCGAAGCAGGGTCACCTACAGCAGGCTGCACAGGACCTTGTCCAGGCGCAGTCCTGGGTCTATTCATACAGCAAGTGACCTTGTCCAGTAGCTTGGTTTAGTCACATTATTAGTTGAAGTCTTCAACATAAAATGAACTCAGTGCTTGTATTTCCCTTTGTAAAAAAATGTATTTCAGTACCTTTTGATCTCTTGCTGGAAGTAGATCAGAATTCTGCAAAACAGTCTTCATCACTTCTGGTTTAGGAGATGGAACAGGTTCTTCAGCCTTCTTCTAATGAAAAAGAGGTTCGTTAAGTTCTTTTGCATTTAAATTATTTCAACAAAATCAAGTAAATAACAGCAGACCTGTAACCCCCTCCCCAGTAGTTCTCTTTCAAAGTTTCCCTCAGTAATTCTTCAGCCACATCTTCACAGCCAGTCAGTGTTCCAGTCCTGGCTCCACTAGAGACCACTGTTTCCCCACCCAGTTTATTTAGAGCAGTTGATGATTGAATCAATACCGTGAAAACAACCTTCAGAAAGTATCAGCTGACTTCAGATACTGAAGTGCTGTGAAAGAGTACAGAGA